CTTTGTGTCTCCATCTCTCTCTGTAACTCTGCCTCTCAAATAAATAAATTAATTAAAAAAAAAACCATTAAAGTGAATTCAAATTAAATTTTGAGAATGTTCCAGCCCCTCTTGAGACCCCTGGATATACCCTGTGACTGTCAGTCGCCCCGAGTGCCAACTTTGTGGACCTGGAAGTCTGTTGTTAATTATTAAAGTATCAGTAATTTATCAGATAGCCATCCTCCAGTAGGCAGGAAGCCTCATGAAAAGTCTAAAACTGTAGGAAGTCGCTGCTTCCTGGCTTCCAGTCTTGCCTGGGGCCACAGGATGCCAACAGTTGGTGAGAAACTGCCCCAGGACTGGCAGATCATATCATATGCATGGCTGTCACGTGCTTACTGCGTGCTGATGAGATGATCCTGTCCTTACAAAGACTGTGGTACACGTCACCATCCCGTTCTCAATAAGAGGATTTTGAAGCTGACAGTCTCGGTCAGGGAGGCAAGGTCACAAAGGCAGGATTCACCCACAGATCCTTGAGATGCCAAAGCCCTGGTCCTCTTAGCACTGTCCCTGACCCCAGGGGGCCACCCTGCTTCCGCTGTGGTAGAGCAGGCCACAAAGCAGCGCTGGCCTGAACCATCTCCATACGTGTTTGAGGCGCCTGTGTGGGCCTGTGTCCACTGAGAACTTCTAAATATTCCCAGATACCCAGCACCTTCCAACTCCAGATGCTCTGTTAAGTGTGAGAGCATCAGACACTTCACACTCGAGGTGAGTCGGATGGTTTGACAGCTCTGTAGAGAAACCCCGGAGTTGGGGGAGAGGACTCTGGGAAGGCAGCCAACACACGTGGCTGGGCTTTGCGAGGCTGTGGCCCAGAACTCACTGGGAAGGTAGGGAGTTCCCTGCAGAGTGTGGCAGCCATGAGCCTCAGGTGGTGGTCAAGCACTTGGCGTGGCCAGTGCTGTCTGAGGACGAAGCTTTGTGATTTCAAGGAGCCACCTGTGGGTTCATGGCTACCGGAATGGACAGCCCAAGTACAGAGGGAGCGATCCCCTCTGGGAACTCTCTGGACCTCTTTCCTCATCTATAGGGCAAGAGGTTGGACCCTAAGATTGTGTTAGGCTATGGCGATGACAGCATGCTTCTGATACAGCTGCCTGTAGTGAAGAAAAAAGTGGTTTCCGAGCCACAGGGGCTTCAAGAATGCCTGGCCGAAGGATTCCAACAAGTGGGCAGCTGGCAGAGAAGCTGGCATCTGCATGGGGGCAGAATAAAGGAGCGAAAGAGAAGGGACAGGGCAGTGGTTTCTGAAGCCGGAAAGTAATCTATGGCAGGACAAGCTGTGGCTAACAGGAAGGAAAGTACTGGAAACGATGTCTAGGATGAGGACCAAGTCCAGGTGGGCCTGACTCTCACGCAGTGCATCCAGGACCACCTGCCCCACTGGGGCTCCAGGATGACCCTGGATCTTAGATGGCAACCCAGAGGCCTTCTATTGCCAGGGTTAGGAGTACGGGCTTGGGATCACACCGTGTGGATTCGAGTCCAGCACAAATACACATAACTTCTCTAAAACTGAGATTTACAATTCCTGCTGTCCGAGTTGGTTTTGATCCTGAATGAGATACTTGACACATAATGCACTTGTCATAAATATTGCCATTATGTTGCCTGGCAAACAGCTGCGGCTGGGGAGAATGCTGTCTCGTTTCTCCATTCAGGGCCCAGCTCTTTGTATTTTGTTGCTATTTAAAACTATGATCATATTTCATTCTCCTAAACTACAGTGCCATGATAAATATTTTTATCTATACCTAGTAAGCGATAAAATAAAGTATTCAGGTGCAACATGCATTGTAAACATTAAGTGGCCAAAGATAATGAGTTAAAAGATAAAATTATGGGCCAGTGTTGTAGTACGGTGGGTTAAGCTACCATCTGTGATGTCGATGAGGACTGGTTCAAGTCCCAGCTGCTCCACTTCTGACAAGCTCCTTGCTAATGTGCCTGGGAAAGCAGGAGAAGATGGCCCAGGTACTTGGACCCCTGCCAGCCATGTGGGAGCCCCAGAGGGAATTCCTAGATCCTGGCTTCAGCTTGGCCCAGCCCCAGCTGTTGCAGCCATTTGGGGAGTGAACCAGTGGACGGAAGACTGGTGCTACTCAAAGCATGGCTGTGGGCTGGTGATGTCTGCAGATGGTTGCTGGTGTGTGACAAAGTAAGATTAAGCATTAGAACAATGTGTGGCCATTTTACACTGAATGGCATCCTGGCATGTGATCCTTCTGCTCATGTGCTACCCATCTTTTAAAGATTCTCATTTTTTTTGTTTTTAAAGATTTTATTTCTTTACCTGAGAGGCAGAGTTACAGACAGAGCAAGAGAGAAAGGTCTTCCATCCACTGGTTCACTTCCCAAATGGCCACAACAGCCAGAGCTGGGCCGATCTGAAGCCAGGAGCCAGGAGCTTCTTCTGGGTCTCCCACACTGGTGAAGGGACCCAAGGGCTTGGGCCATCTTCTACTGCCTTCCCAGGCCATAGCAGAGAACTGGATCAGAAGTGGAGCAGCCAGGACTAGAACCAGTGCCCATATGGGATTCCAGCGCCCAGGCAGAGGCTTGGCCCACTATGCCACAGCGCCAGCCCCAAAACTCTCTAGTTTTTCTAATACACTTTCAGAATTTCTCACAAATGTATTACTTGTGATGAACCGGGGTAGAAGGTGGCGTATCACTGCAGTTTGTTTCTGACTCTGTGGACACAGTCTTCAGTGCACAGAGCTCTAAGGCACATGTGATTGAAGAACCAGAACAGACGACAGACGCAGTCACCTCTTGTCACCATGGGACTGCTTCCATGACTAGCTTTTCTAAAGACAGCAAGAAAGGAGTGAAAAGAGCATGGGCACTGGAAGTAGACATACTGGGGCTCAAATTCTGATTCTACCCCCTTGGCTCTTTACGTGTGCTTCAGGAACCTACACTTACTGTCTCTCTTTCCTCAGCTAATAAACTGGGTGGGTGGGGGGCACTAAAACAGCACAGAGTGGTTCTGAGATTCAAATGAAGAGGCACTGAAGGTCCCTAGTAGAGTGTCTGTATTAACGTTTTCATTACTACGACAAAATACCTGAGGCAAGCTACTTATGAAGGAAATGAGGTTCAGACTAGCTCTTGGTTTTGGAGGTTCACAGTCCAAGAGCAGGTGGCTGCACTGGTTCAACATCTGTTGATGGTGTTCTTGCAGGCAGAGTCCCGAGATGTGTAGAGCATCACAGTGCGTGTCTGTCTCTGTGGTCTCATAAAGTCAACTGGATTTAATCTTGGAGGTTCCAACCTAACAGCCCAACACAACCCAATCACAAGGTCCCAACTTCAGACACCATATCCACCCCTAAGGACCAAACATATAACACGTTGGCCTGGGGAACGCTCAACATCCAAATGAATATCCACACTGCCGTAGTGCCTGGCTGGTCTCCAATTAAGGGCAGTATTCTTACCCTTTCGCCTTTTCATTATTGCCTTTTTTGGGAAAAGGGACCAAATCTAAAACACAAATAGACCCCCCCCCCATTTTAAAAATAATCTACAGAGCTATTACCCTACTGAATGCATTTTCCAAGACTTATCCTAGTAAATATATACTCATCCCAAGTCTCTTTGGTGACCTCTTAAGGTATCATTTGGTGATCATGGCAAAAATACGCAAATTTACCTTAAAAAGACAACTTGAATCCTAGGATCGAGAGAGAGTGAACATTTTAACATCTCTCAGGGAAAGAGTGCCTGTGAGAAGGGAATGGGATATTAGCCAACAACCAAAGAGTAGATTAGCATCAGCGCCACGTCACCTCTGCATCACTACAGGCTTCTTCGTTCATTATGTAGTCTATGCACAAGGTTGAGTCTCCAGTTAGACAAAGAAAAAAAAAAAAAGCAAAGCTGATGTAAAAAGTGTCCTTCTCTGGGGCAGGTGCTTGGCACAATGGCTGAGATACCACTTGGGACCCCTACTTCCCACACTGGAGTGCCTGGGTTCTGATTCTGACTCTGCTCCTGATTCCAGCTTCCTGATAATGCAGGAGATGGCAGATGACTCAAGTAATTGGACCCCTGCCACCCATGTGGGAGACGTGGATGGGGTTCTGGGCTCCTGGCTTCAGCTTGGCCCAGCCTCAGCTATGCAGGCATTTTGGAAGTCAGCCAGCAGATGGGAGCTCTCTCTGTCTCTCTGCCTTTTAAATAAAATAATTTTTAAAAAATGTTTTAAATGTATGTCTCTAATTCTGGGGAATAACTATGTAAGAGCCCATTTCCTGACATCATTACAGGGCCTTGAGTCATCCAGATAGATTACATATATTGATGTAATCTATCATCTATTCCAAACCTCTAAAAATATGAAATCTCTTACATTTCCAGAATTTTTAAAGTCATAAAAATTGCAATATTGTCCTAAGTGTCACAGGGACACTCCCCTGTAATTCAGCTCTAAATATCACTGGCAAATTATACAACTAATCACAAAGTGCTTTTTTGTGATATGTGAAATGTGTTTTAGAAACTCTTTTCAAATACCATTTGAAAGGTCTGACTGTTTAAGCCTGGCCACCTACACTACTTCTCACCCCCACATCTGGTGTCAGAGTCCCACCAGCAAGCAATAGTGAGCTTTCGTGAGGCGCCTGGCGCAGGCAGCAACACAGCAGAGCTGTGGGGCTCCATCAAGCACACCTAGGCCAGCAGGGAGCCCAAAGCCACTGCGCCCGCCTCTGAACAGCAGACCCTGCACAGCCACACACACCTGCAAAGAAAGGCCTTTAGACAGGGAGGAGGGGGGCATGAAAAGGGAGGGAGGAGGTGAGGGAAGAAGAGAGAAAGAAGGGAGGAAGGGAAGGAGGCAAAAACCTCTTAGCATCATCTGTACACTGCTTGTTGGAGATGAGAATTGTGATTGGCGCTAAGAAACCCCAAAATCAAATCGAAACAACATAAAAACACCAAAAATATCACAGGTAATACTGTTCATGGTTTAGTAGTTCTCAGTACTCACGGGACAGGATCTGACAAATCTGTGATTTCTTCTAGAAACAAACAGGAGAAACACTACCCTGGAAGATTGTTTTCTTCCTGTAGCTGCTGTTCTGTGATGGTCACACCAGCTCCTCAGGCCTCTTGGAGCTGCTTGGAGCTGCTGCCTTCCGTGGGCCCTGGCTCGGGGCCGGCCGTGGTGAACTGCCATGGACGTCCCTCGGCAACTCTGGCGGGCAGGTCACATACCCTGCTGCTCCACAAACTGCCTCCTGGGAGGTGAACTTGGGCAGCACAGGCATCCATACATTTATAATGTGTCACCAACAAATAGGATACAAAATAAAAATCACATAAAACAACGTCAGCACTTCTGTTTATGCTTGTGAAATAATTCTCATCCTAAATCTGAATGGAAGATATGTTCTTGGTTTTTTTTTTTTAAGTCCAAGTCTATGTAAAGGTACAGATTGAATTAGTAAATGTTGCCCAAAAAGGCAGAGCTCCTAACATCAAAAAGTGTATGGTAAAAACAGACCTGCACATATACTGCTTCAAAGAGGAAATATCACTTGAAAATCGATCTGGAAAGTTCCAAACGGGCAGCTGCACCTTTATTAGAGAAATTCTACTAAATTTGGCTCAGGAAAGCAACAGCACCGACATTCTTCACATGCTCCGTCCCTGCAACCTTCCTCCCAGTACAAGGGGACTTCTCAGTCTTTGTGGTCTCATCACAGCAAGAAATCTCGAGTCTCAGTCTCACCGAGAATCGATGTAGCAACACCGTAACCCTTAGGTTCGGTTTGCCAGGCTCCAATTCTTCCCTCTGATCTATACTTTGGCCTCCTTCCCCCAGCCTCAAGGTTTACACTTCGACAAAAAGATCTGCTCTCTGTAAAGAAGATCACGATCTGTTTGGTAGGGAATTGTCACAAACCTAGATAAGTAAACAATTACTTAAAATGCTCGAGTCAATTCAAAATGTCTTAAGAGGTTAAATGCCTTCAATTTCAACACACATTCACACAGAGGAAATAGCTACAATTTCTATTCTTTACGTATACATAAAAAAGTCATATCAAAGCTTTAAAATATAATCTTAAGAAATATTTCTCTTTATCCCGGTTATTAAATGGTATTAGCCACTATTAGAAAACAAAAAAGTTGTCCACATTATGAGACTCAAGGCTGCAGGCCCTCAGCTTGCACTGAGAGTGCTCTTCTCACCCTGAGCCACACACAGGCCATGTGAGGGCTGGGGTTCATTCAGTGCTGCCTCTACAAGGCTTTGTGGTCGTACACCAGTCACGCAAGTTCCCCAAACCTCAATGCTACCTTCATTAGCGTTTAACAAACATGTTCTCAGGTATCTTATCCTCAGGAAAAAGGGTTCTTTGGTCAAATGAGCTCAGAAGCCATGCACAACAATGTCTTCCCTTTAGGAGATTACCATGTGCATTAACATCCTTGAAGGCTCTGAGAAGCTCTGCAGGACATCTGTTAAACTCTGTCGGTCAAGGTTGGCATTGCTGACCGTACTCAGTGGTAGTCTATGGTCCGGCATTGTCTCAGGTCTTCTGCAGCACCGATGGTGATGAAAGGCGGAAAGAATAACGCAGTCTTGACGCAGGCACAGAGGATGAAGAGAGTGCAAGTGCCCTGGGGTTGACAAGGCACGTGTTTATGCTTCCTGGCCCCCTGAACATGATTCCCTTGTTCCTGATGAACATGTTTCTCCACACAAGGAAAGCAGCAACAACGGACACAGAATCTTGGAGCCCGCCCACTGGGCAGTAGGTAGCAGTATTCCTCCGCACGACAAGTGGTCTTCAATGCAGATCTTCTCCACTGTGGCTCATTACTCCCCACAACAGGTGCTTTCGCCACTGTTCCCCATAACAGTTCTACCCAACTTTAACAGCTCTGCCTTTACTCACTGCCTTGAGCAGAATGAAGTCAACTCAAGGGCAGGCTGTCAGTCCTCGGGTTAAAGAGCTGCTCTTCCAAGAAGGCACCCCCAAGGCCATACTGCTCCTCGTGCAGACTGATTTCTTCAGGTGACAAGTGGCTTGCTCCCAGAACAAACTCTGCAAATCTAACACATGGTGGGGCGGGGGAGGGGGAGTTTGGTTACTTCAAATACAGTTAGTGGCCTCCCAGGAAGGTGTATTTGGAAGACAACATTTTCCCTTGCTACTTAGCCCCTTTAATTAAATTTGACTTTGCAAGAGGGGATGGCATTTGCACACTAAGGGTAAACACGGGGAACGGCTTAGGTGATCTTAGACACAGCTATTATTCAGGACAGGGGAGAGAAGCAGACAGACGTGAGCATGCAGTGCAGCCACACATTCCCACTCCCGTTTTCTAGTTCCTTTCTCCTCCATTGTGTATCACCTGAATTTCTTGTTATCTTAGTGTCAGATACTTTGGCCCCTGCAATTTTTAAATTGGTGGCATTGCTATGTGAATAAAGCTATGAAGACGGGAAAGCAGTAGGCAAAGATGCGGGGGCAGGCGTGTCTTCATGGGTGAACGCTGAAGATGATTTTCCACGCGTGCCATCCTTCCTCCTTCCCACGTGGAAGTTATCTCTGTGGCCTTCCTGACGAAGCGTCAGACTAACGGCAATCCTGACACCAGCAGCTCTGCGCTCAAGGTCAGAGCACGGAAGCAAAGCACCTCTGACAACTTCCACATCACCCGCCCAGCCCGGGCAGGGAGAGGCCTGTTTCTAAGCCCAAGTGCCTGCACCAAACCATCACGCTATTCACAAGCGTACCGTCAGCCAGGCTCCGGCCGGAACTGCTAAGGGGGGCTTACTTTTTCGGAGCCTGCAGCCTGGAAATGGCCAGCCACGAGGGGAAGTCGGCTCTGCGGCAGGCTCGGCGCAGCTCCTCCAGGGCGCTGGTGGTCTCGGCCTCCGCTTGTTCCCTGTACTCATCTTCAGTAAGGTAGCGAACCGCCAGCTTTTTAGATGGACACCACTGCTTCATTTTCCTGAAATGTAGGGCACTTGGTTACTAGATTCTTGCCCAATCTAATCCTTAAGATTTACAAAAATGTGTTTCTTAGACAGTAGTATTTCCTAATTTGCTTTATATTATACCTACATGTTTTTATTGCTATCATGACTTTAGTACAGAGAACAGGTGGTCTGGGGTCTAACAATCCACTTCCCGGACCACCAAAAATCATTCCTGAAGGCATCTGAGAATCAACTGCTGGTAGTGATGTTCATTCTAACTGTCTTCCTTGGTGACTTCCACTCCTGCAATCGGCCTGGCCTGCTGATTGTCTTGGGCACTAACCAAAGCCAGCTTTTGAGATGTCCTGGAGACCCAGCACAACACACCACACCAGCTGAGAACCTGGATTTCTGAGGGGTTGGTTCCCCCTAGTGGTGAGGATTCTGACTAATTATGGGGAGAAAGAATAAATATTGTACAGAAGTATTTCATGTGCAATTTATAATAATAACTCACTACACACTGAGGATACACAATTGAAAAATTTTTTTTCAACCAACAAAGTTCTAAATCTCATAAAATGTAGGAGTCTAAAGATTTAGGAAACTGAGAATCGCATAAAAAGGGTAATATTGGATGCTAAGGTTTCAAAAATATTTATGTCATATTTACCAATGAACTTTAAAAAATGTTTTGAGGCAGTTTTACATTTAACCAGATTTCCATGTCTAAATGAATCAGACCAGAATCACCATGAGGTTTTCAACATCTATTCTTGAGGGGCGGGACCTAAAAATCTTCCATCTTTCACAGATCTGTGATGTCAATGAGCTGGGTTAAGGAACCCCCTGCGTTTGAGTGCCTGTCCTGCTTTCCCGAGATGGAAACCCCTGGACTCTGAGCCAGAAGTCCGGCCCTGGGCCTGTGTGTACTGGGCAGCTCCTAACAGCACTGAGCCCACACAGCTCACGTGAAAAATGAATGAGAACACCAGTTATCTACCCAGTGAGGTCTCTGCTCAGGTTAAATGAGATATTCTGTGTAAAGTGCGTGGCCTGAGCGAAGTGTCCCATAAGAATAATCAAAGAGCAGCCACTGTGGATTATTAAAATAAACCAAAAGAGCTCTTTGCAAACCAGAAAGTACCATACAAAATCAAGTTATTCTTTCTCTGGCTTAGTATTTAACCTGTATGTTCCTGTTTATTCCTTAGTTCTTCAAATAATTGCTTGCTAGCAACACTGAAAGTTGAGGGAGGTACAGTACATTTTGATTACAGCTCACAGCTCACAGCAAGCACAGGAAGGAGTCACTGTGCAGGTAAGAGATGTGCTTTGCCCTTGGCAGGACGGTTGGACGGGTTAGGGGAAAGACGGAGGAATACTGTCCTCCTGGGTCCCTCAGGCCACGAGTCTGGCAAAGGGCCAGGAAGATGGGGCAGAAGCACTTCCGGGGATCCGGATCACTGCTGCCAAGGGCACACGCATTGAAGACGGCAGCTCCTCTGACGTGCACCGCTGCCTTTTGACTTTGCCACCGACCTCCATTTGGTGTCCTGTCCTGCCACGGGTGCACCCTTAATCCTAGGACACTACCGCATCAACTCACACCAGAGGCTCCTTCCTCCAGGCCAATGCTATCCAACACCTTCCAGTGCTGGGCCCCCTGACCCACTCCAGGCTCTCCTCGGTACCTGCCTGGACCACTGGGCTGTCTGAGGACTGAGCTGGGCCACAGAGGCTTCCAGGCACTCGTGGTGGCTGGTTTTCATTTGTTGAACATATTATTGATTAGATTAGCTGCCAACATTTAAGAGTCGTCTTTTCATCCTAATCTACTCTTCCAAACAGTCCATGCCACCCAGACAGGAGTTTTAAGTCCCAAGTCTGGGAACGCTTTCCTGGAGGAGCTTTTACTGGGACGAAGCTTAAGGAATGAATGAAAATAGCATCACAGGCCGTGCAAAGGAACCGGGTCTGACCCCGCACACAGCGCCCACCACCAGGCCTGGGCCCTGCTGCCTCAGCAGTGACAGCACTGCCTGCCTCGTGACGCGCGCAGCAAGGCCTTCTCTGTGCCCAAGAAGCCCTCCACGTCCAGCCTTCTGGCTATTTTGATTCATTCTTCAAGCTTCAGCCCAGGAATCGCTCCTCCAGGAAAGTGCTCCTGAACCTTCTTTCCATCCCCCAAGCCCTGGGCAAGCCTCCACTCTACCACTCAGAAGGCACAGAAAGGCATGCCCGCGTCTCAGCAGGGACACCTCAAGGGCAGGCACCCCCCACCCCCCCGGGCACCTGATACACAAACAGGTGCTCGGCTTCAGCTGCCGACGAGAGACATCACAGACTGGCTAGAGGGTTTACCTCATCTCTCTCTCCCTGTTCTTTCAAAGGGCTTAATTAAACTTTAACATGAAACCTAGGAGAAAAGAAAATCCTAGTACAAATAATATTTTTCAATCATTTGTTTCCTATTCTTACCTCCTAAGAGCAACTACCCCCACTAAAGCAGTCTTGGCTCTACTAAATGAAAATGTAGAAGAAAAGTACAAGAGCCTAGGTAAGTCCGCCACTGATTTTCACACATCCTGGATGAGTTCTAATTACCTAGTAATGGGTGATGCTCCTCTGAAAGATTAACAAACACTAGAAATGCACATGGGGTTAGATTTCTTCCTGTCTCTCCAAGTGAAGTCTCTTCATTAAATGTAGTTAATTATGACATCAAATACGACGTGCCCCCCAAAGTCCCCTAATACAACAAATAAAACCAGTTCAGAAAAAAAAAGCTACATACCACCTGATGTAGCTGAATGTCTTCAGGGGGAAGCCCACATTCCGAAAGGCCACGAGGAGGACCATGAGCGCGTAGGCAAACTGAGGCATGGCCACACCAGCATAGATGAGCACCAGGGACAGCAACCGCAGTGTCCATGCCAGGAGGCTTCTGCTCCTGCTGTCCACAAGGGGCCCGTGTTTGTAACAGACAGCAAAGCTGCACAGTCCAACTATCAAGACATAGCCTGGAAAAGCACAAGAAGGTAAAAACAATGTAAATCGGAATGGGAAAAATTATGTGAAGAACCTGTCAGAACCCTGACTTAAAGGTAAGAACATAGAAAATCTTTACTTTTGTTTTCTGTTTCCAGTAAAGGTTTCAAAAAAGTACATAGGATTAGTTGTTCCTTCCAGATGAGGTACTAGGCCAACTTGCATAATAATTTTGGATTATAATGGTTGTGATAATGGACAAGCATGACTCTTTTCTGTCCAGTGTCCTAGATGGGAAAATGTTTATTACGGTTGCTGCTTTGGTCAGGAATAAGAGTTTATAACATAATCTGCAATTCAGTCTCTCTGTTACTAATGGGGGGGATTATAAAATAATCTGCCTCCGGTGTGACTCAAGGTGACGTGCACGTGGCGTCTTATGTATTCCACCAAGTGTTTCATCTGGCTCCAAGCAAGCCTCCAGATCCGTTTCCAGCTTACAGGAAATACAGGGGAGAGATGAGTAAGTTAAACAACACAAGGAAGTCATCAGGTCAGTGCAGAGAGGAGACGTTCTACATGACAATTAGCTCGGTCCCTTCAGCACACCTCTTCGATGAAAACAGGATCTGTCACGGATTAAAAGGGATTTACGTGACACAACAGTTGCTGAATGTGGTTCTGGACCATATCCTAATTCATAAAAGCCAGCCATCAAGGATGATTGAGAAATCATAACATGGCCTGGGGAATAGGTGATTCTGTGTAATTTTTTAATTTAATATTTGATTATATAGGAAAATGCTCTTGTTTTTGTTTTTCAAAGATTTTATTCTATTTATTTGAAAGGGACAGTGATAGAGACAGAAAGAGAGAAGGAGACTGGAAGAGAGAGAGAGACATCTTCCATCTGCTGGTTCATTTCCCAAATGCCCATAATAGCTAAGGCTGGGCCAGGCCAAAGCCAGGAGCCAGGAAGTCCATCTGGGTCTCCCACATGTTGGCGGGGGCCAAGGCACATCAGCAGGCAGATTCAATCAGAAGTAGAACAACTAGGACTCAAACCAGCACTTGTGTGTGATGCTGGCATCGCACTTAGCAGCTCAATAGGCTGCCCCACAACACTGGCCCCAGTGCTCCTGTTTGTTTAAAATTAATCATGGGGGTGGGTAGAGCTACCTCTTGTAAGGCCAGCGACCCATACGGGTACTGATTTGCATCCCGGCTGCTCCACTTCAATCCAGCTCCCTGCTAATGACCTGGGAAAAGCAGAAGATGGCTCAAGTGCTGAGGCCCCTGTGACCCATGTAGGTGACCCAGATGAACTTCCTGGCTCCTGGATTTGGCCTGGTTCAGCTCACGCTGTTGCAGCCATATGGGGAATGATCCAGCAGATGGAAGATCTCTGTCTCTCCCTCTTTCTCTGCAACTCTTTCAAGTAAATAAATAAATCTTAAAAAAAAAAAAAAAAGAAAGAAATGAATCATGAAGTATTCAGAGGCACATACCATGATATCTGTAATTACTTTTGGAAGAAAACTTTAACATAAGCTAAATTAAACAAAATTTTCAAGTAAAAAAATTCTTTTGTTTTGAGGGGATGGACTTACGTGAGAAACTTTAGGTACTAAGGGCTGGGAAAAAACTGATTCTCCCAAGGTCATTATTTCCTAACTAAATAATTTTTCAAAAAATGTTTTAAAATAGCACAAAAAAATGAGCTGAATCAAGTATTATGTTCCAGAGAAAATTAAAACTATAGTTTTTGATCAAGGATGAGAAATTTGAGTGTTTTAAATTTAAACATAAAAATGTGTGTTTTATATATTTTTTAACACTTATAGCTTTTCCTCATAAAAGTGCCAGACAGTGCTTTGTGGTTTTGATGAATTTTTATTTATCTATTTTATTGTTACTATTATTTTTACTTTGGGATGTCCACTGATGTAAAGTTTATATTTTAATTTTCACCAGCTTTGTTTCTTTCTTTCTTTTTTTTGACAGGCAGAGTGGACAGTGAGAGAGAGAGACAGAGAGAAAAGTCTTCCTTTGCCGTTGGTTCACCCTCCAATGGCTGCTGCAGCTGGCGCGCTGTGGCTGGCACACTGCGGCCCGCGCACCGCGCTAATCCGAAGCCAGGAGCCAGGTGCTTCTCCTCGTCTCTCATGCGGGTGCAGGGCCCAAGCACTTGGGCCATCTTCCACTGCACTCCCGGGCCACAGCAGAGAGCTGGACTGGAAGAGGGGCAACCAGGACAGAATCCGGCGCCCCGACCGGGACTAGAACCCGGTGTGCCGGCGCCGCAAGACGGAGGATTAGCCTAGTGAGCCACGGCGCTGGCCACCAGCTTTGTTTCTAAGCAGTGGACAAAATCAATTTTTCATCTTAAAAAGAAAGAAAAAGGAAAATAAATGGTTTCTCAGTCTGTTTCTTAAGTCAGGTTTTCATTAATCATTTATATTTAGGATTTCTCATCTCTAAAGCTGAATATATTAAGAAACCAAGAGTCACATTTTAGAATAACTTTTACATTACGTTAGATGAGGCTAGGACTTACAATTCAGAAGTACAGGTAAGAAGGATACTTTTTTTGGTTGTTTTGATCGTAACTATAGAAATATGAAAAGATGCTGTAGGGAAACAGTTGAACACAAAGTCTCAATGAACAGAAATCACCAGCTATGAGAATAAAATAAACAAAATACTATGTTTAATAGCACCTTCCTTAGTTCTAAAATGAAAATGTAGATACCAGAGAGAAGTGGATGACAAAAGGAGGCCTCTAGTTGTACCCTTCAGGTTTACCAATGACAGAACATTCTTTTTAAACATTTACCTACCTAATATAAATATTCTGTTTTCATACCACAGCCACTTCATATCTTCCATCAATTGGCACACAACATAAACTGAAGCAAACCAACAACCAACCATTAGAGCCCAAAAGGTGCTATACTGTGTGTGGAAGAAAATAAATGACACATTTTTTTTTGGTTCGTTCATTCTCAAAAATAGAAGCAAACAAATAAACCCCTGGCATGAGAAAGTTACGCATATCTAAGGTATTCTCTGCAGTGCTGATCCTCAAGGTAGGGTCCACAGAACAGCAGCTTTTTCTCCCGTGGGAACTTGCTCCCTACCCAGCCCGATCTGCATTTTTACAAGCTTCCCCCAGGTGGCTTTCATGGACCTTAAGGTTGGAGAAGCACTCTAACAAAGAAAAGCTTTACGGCAAAATAATGCTAGTGTTGCAAGCTTTAATCGGAGTGACATCAATATTATTATGATGAATTAATTTTTTTTATTTATCCTCAACTAAGTCTAGGGTATGATTTTATTGAAACTATTTTGGGAACTAATAATGATGAAGAAAGCCCAACGTCTAACAATTCTGTTATTTAAGGCCTCAAAGGTCAGCGTCATGAGGTTCCTAGGCTCTGTCTAGGTAAGAGAAATCCTCACTCAGTACAGAATCAGCCTCCTGTCACTCATAAGGAAAACACATGACCTAGAATAGCATATGAAATAAAACGCATCACCAAAATGTAATACTCAGTTAAGCCTACATATAGTAATAATGCATAATCTCAAAAAAAAAAAAAAACCAGATTGTAAAGCCAGTTCATATGGGGAAGGAACATAGTCTGGATTGGAAATTGTAATACTGCTAATTAATTTTGATTAGTTTGTCATGTCTTTGAGATCACGGTTTGTATTTTTTATTCATTAGCACACAGTATGCCTACCTTTGGAATGTACCTTTTCACCAAGAGCAGGACAAAGACTAATGTCATTAGAACACCTAGCACAGTTCCCGAAGAGTAATAGAAAACAGCACTTCTGTTAAGACAAGCAGACAGAAACCGTTAAGACTCCAAGTAGCACTTTCAATATGAAAAACATGTTTAACCTGGTGACAGCAGCCACAAGGAAAGAAAAACTCAGTTGTAATTGAAATTACATACCATGAGTACACCATCAAAAATTAAATCAGTACATGAAATTTATGGTAAACACCTTGCCACTAACTGAAAACAGAATGTCTGGGCTACCTTCTATATTCAGAATCTGACCCAGAGCCAGCGTTGTGGTATAACAGGTTAAACTGTTGCCTGCAATGCCAGTATCCCATATGGGCCACAGCTGCTCCACAGCTCCCTGCTAATGCACCTGGGAAAGCAGTGGCAGCCAGCCCAAGTCCTTCGGCCCCTGCACCCACATGAGAGACCTGGAGGAAGCTCCTAGCTGCTGGCTTTGGCCTGGCCCAGCCCTGGCCATTGTGGTCATTTGGGGAGTGAACCAGCAGATGGAAGATCCCTCCTTGTCTCTAATTCTGCCTTTCAAATAAGTCAAATAAATCTTTTTTCAAAATGCCAGACTCTGATCCAGCAGTAATTACGGAGCACCTATCACACAGCAGGTACTTTCCTGGCATTCGCAACAGCTGTGAAACAGCCCCCACAGTGTCTGTATTTTATGGAGGAGGAAACTAAGGCACCAAGGAGTTAGGAGACCTTCCCCAGGTCAGAATCTGCTCACTGGAGGATTCAGGATTGTGGCCAAGCTCCTTGGAGTCCAAATTCTACTATTCATGTGATGCACACACTACCTGGTTTATAAAGCTCCTAGACGGCATGAAGCACATGCCTGCACTAATGAAAGTGGGGAATGTCCAGCCAGCAGGTCATGGAAGGCTGGCGGAATCACTTGGTGTGGCCCTGCCGAGGCAACCACGGTGGGGACTTGACATTCTATAAATCCATAGCAGGCTAATTCTTGAGCTGATAATGTTGATGTGGGGTCCATGAGCAGAAGAAAGGTTCCCATACTTGCACTATAAGGAAAAGTTTAAAAATGGGCAACATGAAGAATAGTTAAGAACCGAGCAGGTGTTTGGGGAGCAGTTTAGATGGCAACAGAGATGCCTGCATCCCAGACCAGAGCGCCGGGGTTCAAGCCCCAGCTCTGTTTCCAATTCCTGCTAACGTGTACCCTGAGAGGCAAAGCTGGTGATGGCTCAAGTCATTGGGTCCCTGCCACCCATGTAGAAGACCTGGAAGGAATTCCTGGCACCTGGCTTTGGCCTGATCCAGCCTTAGCTGTTAAAGGCATTTGGGGAGTGAACCAGTGGATGAGAGATATGTCTGTTTCTCTCTCTCTGCTTTTTAAATCAATAAAACATTAAAAAAAAATAGTTGATAAGTTTGGGTACTAACTAGCATGAGCAAGCTAAGAAGTAAAATATTGGAAAGATACTTTTGTTTCATGAGAAAAGTTGTAAGAAACAAAATATTGGAATGATATCTTTATCCAAGGGTCAGATATTTGTTCAATTCAGCCTCAGTCCACAGTCACAAATCTAGGAGGCAGCTCTAACGTTATACAGAGAGCAAGGCACCTGGTATCAAAAAGCCCTAGTACTCAGCCTAGCTATTACCCAGCTGTGTGATGACAGATGTTGGCTTTCTCATCTGTGAAATGAGAGCAGTACTACGGAGCTCACATAGCAGCTGTGACGTCTATTGAAGCCACGGTGCAGTGGGCTAATCCTCCACCTGCAGCGCCTGCATCCCATAGGGGCGCCAGTTCTAGTCCCAGCTGCTCCTCTTCCCATCCAGCTCTCTGCTATGGCCTGGGAAAGCAGCAAAAGATGGCCTAAGTCCTTGGGCCCCTGCACCCACATGGGAGACCTGGAAGACGCTCCCGGCTCCTGGCTTCAGATCAGCAAAGCTCAGGCCATTGCGGCCATTTGGGGAGTAAACCAGTGGATGGAAGACCTTTCTCTCTGTCTCTCCCTCTCACTGTCTGTAACTCTACCTCTCAAATAAATAAATAAAATCTTTAAAAAAAAAGAAATATGCTAGTACATAAAATCAAACAATGTCTCTGAAAGCACTTTGTAACTTATACCTATTTTGCTCTACAAATAACCACTACTGCTTAAGGGTCTCAAGAAAACCTATTATCTGCAAAACCTAAAGCAAGAACTAGAAACACAAACACGAAAGTATAGCAATATTTAGCATAGGGTCAAAAGTGGTCTGCACTCCACCCCAATTTTTTTTTAAAGGATTTATTTATTTGAAAGGCAGACCACAGAGAGAAAGGAAGACACACACACACATCGAGAGAGAGAGAGAGAGAGAGAGCAAGAGCTCTTCCACTGGATGCTTCACTCCCCAAATGGCTGCAACAGCCAGGGCTGAGCCAGGCTGAAGCCAGGAGCCATGAACTCCATCCGGGTCTGCCACATGGGTGGCAGGAGCCCAAGCATTTGGGCCATCATCTGCTGCATATTATCAGGAAGCTGGATAGGCACTAGGACTCTCACTGGCACTCCCATATGGGATGTCAGTGTTGCAAGAGGCAGCTTAACCCGGGGAGCCACATGCTGGCTCCTGTACTCCCCTTTTGATTCACAAAGTAAGAATGTAAAAATTAGTACTTACTGACTCAAGGTTTCTGCATACAAGAAAAGGAAAACGCCTGCCACACACACAAGGAAGAGTCTGAAATCTACAACTGGAGGAAAAAAAGACACAATTCACATTTTGTGTCAATGTAGTGCTGATGAAAGAAAAGTCAATTTACTGAAATATCACTTTAGAAACACTGAACCCAGAAAGTCAAGGATAATAAACACAGACTTACTGTTTCGGTTCACGCTTATCGTGTAGGCCAGCATCTTCCCGACAGGTTTCAAAGAGAAGCATGCCGTCTCCTCATAAGGATGGACGATGATGGTTATTTCATTAGATTCCTTTGGTGCCCAGAAGTTATGAATCACACATTTGATAAAAGACAGGATGGTTTCTGGATACCTGCAATTATGGCTTTCCGTGATATACACAAAATTGAGCAGGCCTGGGCTGGTCATTTTCACCTACAAAACAAAAACAAGCAAATCCATGAGCACAAAAGTAAAATCTTCTTATAAGCTGCTTAAAAACATGAGCAGAGGAGAGAGCAGACTGGCTGAGCCCAACACCCTGACGGGCATGGTCATGTCCTGATCCCAGGGCTGACCCTACAGATCTGTGTTTGGCCCAAACACACACTGGACCAGACACCTTTGAAAAGGGATGTTTCCTCCCTGGAGCTGAGGTTTATTTAACTCCTTTTTCTAGCAAGCTACTGTGGTCAAGACACAGGTAAAGAAGGCTAAGAGACAAAGTAATGGACAGCAAACTATTCAGTTTAAACACAATGAAAACAAGGTTTCTAGCTCTACCACTGAGTACTGTGGTTAAGGAAACATCAGCCTAGTGTATGTAGCTCGGGCTTTTCTGATCACCCTTGCTGAAGGAGCAGATCCCAACCTCGGGTCCTGTCCAAGCTGCACAACCACCACCAGCTACAAGCAGACGGTGACAACCCAGTGGTCAGGAAACAGCAATTCCACAGCTGACTGCCCCTCTCTGTATTCCACCTTGTCCAAGAGTAGAGCGAGTCGGAAGTGGACTGAGCGCTCCAGCTTGGACTTCCGGTCAAGAGGCAATGTCACCCGCTCTCCACCACCAATGCCTCATTTCTCTGTGACTTGGGCTCCTGGCTCACTGCTGTGATTTTTAACCTACAGACTATACACACCCCAACTTCTCCTGGTGCCCTGGCCTTGCAGGTCCCAGGGCTCCTCTCCGCACGTGCTCTTGTCCTCCACCCCACCTCAGCGAATCACTCCCACGGCCACACTCTACCGAACTGCACACAGCACTGCATGCACTGGCCGACCCCTTCCCCTTCCCAGTGTGCTCTCTCCTGGCACCCGGACCCCACTCAGGATCTGAATATCCTTCCCCCATTCCTCACCCTCTTCATGTCTTCAGTCCCCTCCTACCCAGCTAAACCCCATCATATCAATCATACATCAGCCCGTGCACGAACCCTGGACTCCTTTGTACCCCGTTGCTTTGTCATTCTCACCAGAAAATTCCAACTCTACCTATTCCACTTCCACATTTTTGCCACTGAACGTGCTGGACAAATGCACAATGGCTTCACGCTAAAGTCAGGACTGGGAATGGAAAACGGGACCTGAAAGCTGCAGTCATTCGTGCTGCACGCTCCAGCCCACCCAGTCTTGCACAAATGACATCATAACTTCTCCTTCTTTGTCACGCCAGTACCCCTCCCCACCCGCATTCCTGGCCGATGAGTCTTCCCACTTCACCGAAAATGGAAGAAATCACAAGCAAACATCGAGCAGCTCCTATCTCCCTATGCACCTCCCAGTCTGAATCTGTAGGCATGCGTCCTGTTACCTGCCTGTGGAGAGTAAGTTTCTGCCCATAGGAAACCCACATTCCCCATTAAGGGCCACCCCCTAATTTATGCTCTGGATCCCATCAACCTTTGCTCGAAGACATCCCACCTGCACTTCCTCCTTCTCTGCTAGGTCATTCCTATCAGAATATGTGGATATTCCCAGAATTAATAAATATATTTTCCCATAATAAAAAAACCTTCCATAGACTCCATCTGCCCCTCCAATTATCTCCATTTCTTTCCAGCTCCTTGCAATAAGATTCTGTTAAAAAGTTGCCTATGCCTCGGTCTCCCGTTCCTCTCCTCCCATTCTCTCTTCAAACCACTGTGGTCAGGTTTGTACGCCCAACTGACTGCCCTGGCCCTGTTTTCTCCATGTTGCTAAGCCCAACAGCAACTCATTCTCAGTCATCCTATTTGATCCGCCAAGAACACCTGGCACTGCTCCCTTTTCCTCGCTATTCTTTCTTCCCAGGATCCTCCCTTACAGCCCCTTCTCTCCTCTTCCAGGCCCTTCCTTCCTCCTGACCTTTGAATTGAAGACTGACTCAAGCTAAGTCACTGGGCCGCTTCTCCATTTAAGCTGATTCCTCAGTCTCGCAGCTGTAAGTACCACCTGCACGCGTCGCTGCTCACTTCTGTCAACAGGAACAATTCACCAGAAACTGCTGAGACAGATTCCCAGCAAAGGTGGGGTAGGAATTGAAAAGGGATGGGGCGGGGGGGGGGGGGTGGGGGGGGTGGGGGTGTGTGGCACTTCTCCGAGAATACCTTTGCACAGAGTTCAGACTTCTAAGCCACATTAGTGTTATATGTACTCAGAAATGACGGAGATAAAGTCCACCAGGACAGGGGAAAATCCTGCAATGAAAACAACTAGAACCAACTGCATTTCAAATGAATAACATGACCACACTGAAGCGGGTGGGGTGGGAATGAAAACTCAACCAACTTCTGGGCACAGTATTTAGATTATGCACCGCACATGGAAGATAAATACTATGAACAGACTAAGTTCTCACTCCCAGGTTTGTCTTTCACAACAGTATGACTTAGCAATTCTGAAACTACTTTCGGTACATTCCAGGACTAGACAAATAAATAAATGTGTTGAGATGAATGGGAACCAGGTTTCTCACTACAGGAGAATGGAGTTACAGATACAGAAACGTGGGAGACCCTTTGGTACTGCAGGTATCAGAACTCCTGGTTTTTGAAGGACAGAAATCAAAATGTTTGCAGGTTTGTGAGTGTGTACGCACATGACAGTGACATTCCAGTATCAAGGAACACACCTAGTGCTCAATGTGCCTTGGAAAATAGGATTCCAGAGCTGGGTCTAGGAAACTACAACATGAACTTGGAATGCCTTGTTTACTAGAACATAAATAAATGTTCAGCAATGACAGGCAAAGGTAAGAGGACATAGGGGCTGGTTTGAAGGAATTCCTACTGGACAAATCTAGGACAATCTGAGATCAAAATAAATCTTGAGAGTAATAGGTTGTCCACTGAATAAATTAGCAGTTCACAAGATAATGTGAAAATATACAAATAAGAGGAAGAAATGTTTCCATATAATAGAATACCAATGAATGCAGAGGAATGGAATTTTTTTTAAAAAAATCACCATTTGACAAATATCATAATTGATTCAGGCAAGCATCACCAATAGATAGTAAGTCTAGAGGGTGAGAATTGATGAGGAATAGGATATTCACATCATCTCAAATGATTTCCTCAAAATACTCACTAAAGATGGGAAAACAGTAAGTTTTCAGCAGAAGAACCTGACACCACCCCAACCAACTGACCCAAGTGGTATGTGTTACCGGTAATGATCTAAGTCAACCATTCGGATACCCTTGTGTGCCACGAGCCATCTGGTGCAATGTCCCAGCTCTTTCCTCAGCCCAGCACTCTTCCTTCCACAGATTCCCCCTGGGGTAACTTGCTCAGTTCATTGGATTCTGTCTCAAATGTCACCTTCTCCTCAGCCGATTTGTCTTACTTACATTTTCCATTTTTCATAGTGTCCGTTAGTTTTTTTTTAAAGACTTATTTTTTATTTATTTGAAAGACAGAATTACAGAGAGAGGTAGAGATAGAGAGGTCTTCCATCTGCTGGTTCACTGCAACAGCAGGAACTGTGCCAATCCAAAGCCAGGAGACAGGAGCTTCTTCCAGGTCTCCCACGTGGGTGCAGGGGCCCAAGGACTTGGGCCATCTTCTACTGCTTTCCCAGGCCATAGCAGAGAGCTGGATCAGAAGAGGAGCAGCCGGGGCCAGTCCCGCGGCTCAATAGGTGAATCCACTGCCTGTGGCGCCGGCACACCGGGTTGTAGTCCTGGTTGGGGCGCTAGATTCTGTCCTGGTTGCCCCTCTTCCAGGCCAGCTCTCTGCTGTGGCCCGGGAGTGCAGTGGAGGATGGCCCAAGTACTTGGGCCCTGCACCCCATGGGAGACCAGGAGAAGCACCTGGCTCCTGCCATCGGATCAGCGCGGTGCGCTGGCCGTGGCGGCCATTGGAGGGTGAACCAATGGCAAAAGGAAGACCTTTCTCTCTGTCTCTCTCTCTCACTGTCCACTCTGCCTGAAAGAAAGGAAGGGAGGGAGGGAGGGAGGGAGGGAGGGAGGGAGGAAGGAAGGAAGGAAGGAAGGAAAAAAAGAAAAGAAAAGAAAAGGAAGGAAGGAAGGAGGAAGGAAGGAAGGAAAGAAAGGAAGGAAGGAAGAAGGAAGGAAGGAAGAAGGAAGGAAGGAAGAAAAGAAAGAAGGAAAGAAAGAAAGAAAGAAGGAAAGAAAGAAAGAAAGAAGGAAGGAAGGAAGGAAAGAAAGAAAGAAGGAAGGAAGGAACGATAGAAGGACGGCATGAAGGAAGGAAGGAAGGAAGGAAGGAAATAACGTAAGAAAGAAAGAATGTCAGAACGATGGAAAGGATAGGAACGGAAACGGTATGCCACTGAAGGGAAAGGAAGATAGAAATACAGTAAGATCGATAGTAAAGCAGGTATGATAGATCTAGAAATGTAGGATAGGCACGTAAGATAGGAATGAAGGAAAGACGGATGGCAACGAGAGACAGAAGTTAC